TCTTCCTAGAATTTGGTTCTAAAGTCTGTGTGCTATCTCTCGCCGCTCGCGACGCTCATACGAGTTTGAGATTCGTTGTTACTGCTGCTATTGCTGCTCGAGTAGATTGGAGAGCCGTCCACGGCAGCCCAGTGTAAAATCTTCCACGAAATTTATGTCAAAATCGCTTTTTTCTTCCTCGTTTGTCCAAGTTCTTGTAGAATTGTCAAGCTCGGCTCCTTTCCAGGAACTTGGGTTTGTCAAATTCTCATTCATCTCGCGATTTTCTCCGAGATTCTCTTGCCTTGTCTTCTCAAATCGCGCTGTTGTTCTTGGACATTCCTTTACGGGAAGGTTCTTTCTTCCAAAGTTCTCGGGATTCTGTGAACAGTTGTTTCTCAGGTTCTCAGGATGTCAAAGTCGGCCCCCTTGAGGAGCTCGTCCACGAACACGTCCAAAAACTCGCGCTTTTGCTCCCCGAGCACGCAAAGGCACTCTTTCTCGATGAGCGATCGCGACTTCTCCGAGATGGCTTCCATGCCCGGCGATGGCAGCGCGCTCTTGGCGAGAGCAACCATCTCCCGGACAATCCCATACCCGGGACACGTCGCATGCAACGCCGCCATCATCTGGTACGCGCTCACTCGCGAGCTCAACTTCGCCGGACTGTCCGACGATCTCTCGAGAAAACCGGCCCTGTAAGCCGAGTAGTACGACGTTCTCACCCAGTCTCTCTCCACCGGAGAAGCCAAGGTGGCGATTTGATCCTCCACTTCCACTGCAATCCTTCGCAGCTCCTCCAGAGCCTCCGCTCGATCTTTCCTCTTGGCTGCTTCTCTCATCCTTGCGTGGAAGCACGGGAACTCCGGCCTCTGAGCGTGCAGCCGAGCTTCCACCCGACACCGGAGACACTTGCAAGTGAATCCCCAGCGGCTGTCCGTCCAGTACATGCGCTCGTCCAGCGGCTTCTTCACGTCCATGTAAGGCAGCGTGAGTTCTTCCTCGGCTCGGATGTTCCTGGCGGCTCTCACGAACAGCGCGGTTCCAACCATCTGCTGCGACACGTTAGGGACGCAGGAATGGTTGATGAGCGCCGGGAGTGTCCACAGTCCCATCGGGCTCTCGGGCTTGTCCTCGATCTGGAAGGCGTAGCTCGAGCAAAGCTTGGCGATGGCGGGCACGGCGTCGAACCAGATGTAGTCTTGCTGCTGGTCGTGGATGAGAACGTTGGTCGGCTTGAACAATCCCATCTCCATCGCCAGCTCGCTGTCTAGTCCCAAGAACTGGAACAAGCTCTTCCTCGACGTCAAGCACTTCCTCATCAACTTTGCCGGCAAATCCTCCCGCGGTGCCACTGCCGCCGCGTTCCAGACGAGCAGAAGCTGCCCGGCTTTGATCTCCTCGGTCGCGAACAAGCCCCGGCCTTTCTCCTCGTCGGCCGCCATTCCCATCCTCACGGGGCCGAGATAGTCGCCAACTTCGGGAGCTTTGCTCTTGCCGAGGATGAACTCTCGCAGCTCGTAGTTGCCAGTGTCTCGCTGCTCGATCAACCGAGCACACCGCTTCATGGTGTCGTCGTCCGCGAGGCCCGATCGGTAGAAGCTGTCCAGCGCTGCTCGGAACTTCTGGAGGCCGAGAAAAAGTTGGCCTTTGAGGAGGTACGTGTGCCTGTGAGTGGAATCCACGACGTGTGCTCGCTTGGCGTCTTCGAACGCTCTCTCGTAGCAGTTTAATCCCAGCCATGCCTGGCAGCGCTTGGAAAGAGCTTCCACCTTGTTCTTGTATCCCTCCTCGTCGACACACCTCGTGAGGAGGTGGATCGCTCGGACGTAATCTTTCTTCTCTAGAGCAGCCGACGCTTCTTCCCAGATCTTCTCCACGGTGAGACCATCTGGAACTTCGATCCCCAAGAAGTCGATGTACATGGGGTTGTGGATCTCGATGATCACTCTCCCTTTGGCCGTGCACAGTGCTCGCGGGTGCTTGATCTTCACCCTGGCGCCCTTGGGGAAATGCATTCTCACCTCCTCCACCGTGGTCGATGACAGCGCGAAGTTACTCACCAGCAAGTAGAAGAAATCGCCATCGCTCCTCTCGGCGATGGCGCTCGACACCCGCATTCCATCCTTGATGATCCCGGCGTCGCGGGAGAGCGTCCCCAGCAAGCTCCGGCCACTGAATTCCACCTTGTTCTCGCCAATCTTGACCTTGGCCGCCTCCTCGGCATTCTCCCGGAGCGATTTCTGGATCTCCGCAAAATCGATCGGCCGAAACTTGAGAAGATCTAGAATCTTTTGCTTGCCTAGAGCAGGCGGACCGAGCACTGGCACTGGATCTTTCGACCTGTGCGGCGCCATTCCCGCCTGGGAGGCGTAGAACCTCCATATCCTCCCGCGAGCTCTCATCCCCGCCCTAAAACCCAGAACCCTAGTATACCCTAACCGTCCACGTGTCAGGTGGAGAATCGCTTAAGGGTAAAAGATATCCGTTTCAAATCAATGGATAAGAGCAAAGATACCTACATTTTATGCCTACGTCAGCTGCCACTTGGCGGGTCCGTGACCACAGATTCGCGATGCCCACGTGGGACCTATACTGGTGGCCGAAAAGCAGCCTGGGGAGATTAGGCGGTAAATAAAGTTTCGCGAGTAACAAAGAGTAGGGTTTGGAGATCCGGGCAAGCGCTGCGAGGTACGATCGATCGATGCTCTTCGCGGCATTACCATTTCCAGGTCGAGATCGTGGCGACGAGGAGCGCTACCGCGAGCTAGAAACGCTGTGAAGAATGGCAGGGATTTTGATTTGCCGCAAGAATGTAGCGAGAATCCATTGAGATTGAGTGGATTCTCGCGGCTAGAGAGCTGTAGAAGAATAATGCGGACCTTGTGCGATGTCTGCGAATCAGCTCCAGCCAGGCTCTTTTGTGCGGCAGACGAGGCTGCGCTGTGCTCCAAGTGCGATGAAAAGGTGCCTCTTTTTCTTTCTTGCTTTCCTCGCTCACTCTCGCGATTGGAAGAAACTAATCTCTTGGTTTCTTTCTTTCAGGTGCACGGATGTAACAAGCTAGCTAGCCGCCACGTTCGTTTGCAGCTCGCGGAGGCCCGAGCGGTGCCTCGGTGTGATATCTGCGAGAGCGCTCCTGGTAAAGTCATCGAAAGCCTCACTTTTTCGTTTTTTCTTTGGGGTTTTGCCTTTTGTTTCTGGCTAAAGTGACTTGGCTCGTAGCTTTTTTCTACTGTGGCATTGATGGAACGTCACTGTGCTTGCAATGCGACATGGATGTACATACCGGAGGGAAGAAAACGCACGAAAGATACCTCATGCTGGGACAGAGGGTGGAGGTAATCACCGGACTTTTAGCTTCGCGGTAGTTGTTTGACAGTTTCTTACAGCTTGCTACTTGTAAATCTCAGCCTGAAGATGCTGGTGTACAATCAAACGATCACCGCGGACAAAACCATTACCACCCGACTAAGAGGATCGCGTTGACGAAATCAAACAACAGTGATGCTCCCGCCGTTGCTATAGCCGTCGGCGATGCCGATCAATCCAAGGGCGACACGCACATGATTGATCTTAACTCCAGGCCTTTGCATTTGCAAGGCCAACCGGCAAAGGTAAGCCCGCTAGTTTTTGCGTAAGTCTTACGAGTTTCTATCTTGTGTGCTCCATCCAGAGCACGAAAAGTAGAGATTCCGGAAGCAGCGACGACTGCGCTGGAGTAGTTCCTGAGATCACATCAACGGCCAAGTCGTGAGACGTTTTCTAAAGTTGTGTATTTGTATGACATGGCAGCTGTGCAACATTTCAGTACAGGAAAGAAATCAAAAGAAGTCGTCGAACGGTACAAGCTATTCACAAAAATGTTTCACATTTGAGACCAGTTTCTCATCCAGTCAAGTTGTCGGGCAAGTTGATGGAGTGCTGGCCGAGAACTTGACCAGCAACGTCGGGAAAGCTCTCGTTGCCGGCGATGGGCTTGATCTCGCCGTTCACCTGGACGCTCATGGGATAGCTCATAAGGTGGCCCTTCATGTCGGACGGCTCCTCGGACACAAACTGCTTCCAGTTACCTTGAGCAATCTCGTTCACTTTGTGGACGCATCTTATATCAGAGGGATCGTTGAACAAAGCTGGATCGAAGTCTCCAAGGTGCTCGGCCCAGAGAGAAGCTCGGTATCCATAAACCTGGACAGAGAATACAAGAAGAACAGGAGGAACAGGGAGCGTTGCAGTGACAAGCAAGCAATGAGAAAGAACTTCAAAGCTACCTGGCCGAAAGGATGGGAGTGTTTCTTGTGAGCCCAAGTATAGTGGGGCTGATAAGCTCCCATGGCAAGCTCGGTGTCCCTGGAACCGTCCATGGAACGCTGGTTGATGTTGGCCGAGCCGATGATCACGTACTCGTCGTCGACGATCATTCCTTTGGAGTGGATGTAGATCATGAAGCGCTTGTACTTTTGAGCGTACCACTGGACGAGGAGGCGCAAAGTTCTCAAGAGTTTTTCGGGGAAGAAAGAAGTGTTACCTGTGTGGATTTCTCGGCTGGTGCCATGGTTCCTGGTTCGCTTCGCTCCTCCCGGTTTGCAAGGCAGTAGAAGTTGAGATAGTCCGTGGGATGGTTGCCACTGCCAACTTCGTTCAAGGCCTGTGCGATGATCTTATACATCATCTTCATCGTTTGGCTCTGATCCAGCATCCAAGTCAGTGACAACGTGAAGAACACTCGAGAATGGGATTGTTTTACCTGGAAGTAGAGGATTTCCTGGACGGTGGCACTGTCAGGGACGCCCTCCGGCCACATTGGAATGACAACGTAGACGGCGAACGGGTCGCCGCTTCTGATCTTGGAGGCCACCTTGAGAGCGAGCTCCATGGGGATCATATGAGTCGCGTCACCCTTCTTATAGTCTGGCCAGGCATACGACGAGCCCAGGAAGTACTGGTTCTCGATGTAGATAAAGTGCTGGGCCGAGCGAATGCGCTCCACGTACGCCGTGTGGATGCTCGTGTCGATGGCAACGTTTTTGAGCGTCACCAAGTTTTGCTTCTGGCAGTCTGCTGGTTCTTTTGGAAATCCTTTCACGGATCCAGAGTCGATGGAGCGAAACACCTGCATCACACGAAGTGTAAGTTCGTTCTTTCTCTAAAGCCTTTTCTTTTTCACTTACTTGGACGTTCCATGTTTCAGGATCGTCCAGCTCCGTGACCATCAAGGCCTGGTCGCCATCGTTTGGGCTGAGAATCCAGGAAATCCTGTCGATCTCGATCATAGCATCCTCGTGCCATGTCGCGGCCTTTCTCCAGCGCTGAGCAAAGTTTGTCAGCACGTCGTACGCTGCCGGGCCGTCTATCCGGCAGTGGAGGTCGTGCCACGGCTGCCTTGGACCACCATGATCGATCGTTCCCTGGTTTTCCAGCTCAACCAACGTAAGCATCGAGTAACAAAGAAGCAAAAAAAGTATGCTTTTCTGCTAACACTACTGTCAAGAAGGATGTGTTCTTTTGCTTACAGTGAAAGTCGGGTTGTGGTAGTCGTCCCTGTGGATGCTGCCAAGCGTTTTGAACAACGGATGCTCAGGCGTGTCGTATCGTCCTTGCGCCAGGTCCAGCCCACCTATGAAAGACGTAAGCTTACGATTGTTTCCTCGTCCTTGGCTGTCGACAATAACGAGCTTTTGGTGGTGCGTGTAGAACGTTCCCACAACCTGGGAAAAGATCGAGACGAAGAGTCAAAAGGAAAGAAAAAGAGAAAAGCCGCGAAGTCTCACCCATTGCTTGAGCCAACTCATTTTGGAATCGCCATAGCGAGGGGAGAGCACGCATCGCACCGCCGAGTGCCGGAAGAACTTCTTCGTCTCCTCGTCATAGGTAGCCATCACTCCTTTCTGCAACTCACAGCGATGTTAACTTCCAGCAATCTCGCAAGAACAAAGAAGAAGAAGAAGAAAAGAAGAGATTTTTCTTTCTTACCGTCGTGAACAACGGAGTGTGATGCGAGGTCTTATCGTCCCACACCAGCAGCAACACGCGAACTCCCTCGGCGGCCTTCCTCTTGAGCAGCTCCCCGAGTGTGAGATTCGCGATGTCATTGCTAAACTTCTTGTGATTCTCAGGCTCCCGGACGATCTTCACCTTGTGGAAGACCGACCAGCCCGCGATATACACAAGGTGGTGAGCCTCGAGAATGGCCTGGCAGATATCCTCCCAGCACTTGCCATGCTCGTAAGCTCCGCCACCCTCGAGCGTGATCTCCGGAAGACCACCGTCCGGGCAGTGCGCGTCCTGGTAGAGCTTGACCGAGCAGCCCTTGCGAAGCGGGAAGTAAGTCCGAGGAACCGCGCCCTCGGCTCCAACTCCGTGCTGGTAGTTCTTGTCTTGCTCCACTGGAGTATACTTGATCGAGATCTTGAGCTGCGCGCCTTCCTTACCCGATCCAACGACGTCAAACCACGTCTCCACGATCGCGGGGCCGCTGGCGATGCGGTGAGCCGGGATCTTGACGCCGCCGATCACTTGCGCGCCAAACACATCGTTGTCTTTGACCGTGAGCAACACCTCGGGGACCGAGTGAGCGACGTGGAGCTGGAAGCGCTCGCCCCAGTGTGGAATTTGGCTGTTGCTGATCACCTTGGTCTTGGCGAGGATGGCGTCGCCCAGGCTGAAAACCACGTATGGATCGCTCGTGATCTTGTGGCGATGGTGGGCGAGCTTGTCCTTGGGCTTGGCACACATTGTCTGGAGGCCGCCCAGGATGGAGAAGCACTGGCTGGCCCTCTCCGAGAACCAATCCATGTTGGGCAGCGACTTGGCCTCGATGATCTCCAGCTCCACCGTGCCGTAGAGGAGGCAGACCTTCGGGGAGCTGGCGCCAAGGGAGACGTCCTCCATCTTGCCCAGATCGCTGGAAGGGAAGGAGGGGAAGTGATCGCCACCGCCGGCGGGTGGGCGTTGCTGTTCTTGGTGGTGCTGCTCCACATTCTCGTGCTTTACCTCGAATTCGCCATCGCTGGTGCCCGCGTCCTTGAATCGCACTGCCCGGGAGTTGATCGCGCCGTCTCCCTCGTCCGGGTGCGCGGGAATGCTCCATCCCAGCGGCTTGCCGTCGTCATCGCGGATCTGGTCGCCCATCGCGCCCGCCCTAGATCCGGAATTGGAGGTCCAATCGAGCTCCTCCTATATTCTTGGCATTTGACCGAGTCGATCCAAGAGGAATCGATGGGATCGATCCGACCCACGTCGGGATCGGCGAGAATCGCCGGGAGAGGGCGCCCAAGCGCCGCAATCGAGCACGCTTCTCTTGCCACTCGTTGCACGCTTTAGCTCCAGAATTGCATCCATGAAGCTAAACTGGGATGGAATCGAGTGAGCCCACGTCGAGGGGGGCGGGGATTCGTAGTGGGCTCTTGCCGGATCGCCGAGAGATCGCCCAAGTCGAGAATTTTGGGAGTGAGCAAGTGAATGGAAGTACTTCTAGAGCCCGGAATCTTGGAGGGCCATCAGCACACACTTGGAATGCTTGGTGGCTGGCAGGGGTGTGGTGGGGGCATGAGGAAGACATGAAGAGCGCCAGTCGCTTTGTCCTTGGCTCTCACAAGATCATCGCCATTAAAGATGGTACAAAATATCATCCACCTGGAGAGAGGATCGGCCAAAAGGAATCTCGATTGGAACGTACCCGATCGCTCTGGCTGCCTTTTGTTTGAATTAAAGCACAAGCTTTCACGCACCAAGCATTGCACCTTTCATATCAACGAATCCAAGAAGAAAAAGAAGAAGTTACTCTTGGCACAAAACTCTTTACTCTTTGTAGATTTCTTTCCGAAACAATCTTCACAAGCTTTGATTTCTTGGTAGAGCACACACTGGTTTCTCTTGTAAATCTCTTGGAGTGGTTTTCTAAAGCTTTTATTCGTTGATACTTTATGATGAGAACACTTACACAGCTCTGCAGCTAGAGAGTGGGATAATTCCAAATGCAAGGGTGGTGTTTGCTATGGGATTACATTCCGTTGTGGTTTGTGTGAGCACGCTACTTCCATTGCCAAAAGAGCAAGCCAGTGTGGAGTAGAGGATCCCTGGCTCCTTGTCAAATATAAACTTGTAGCCAAACACTGGTGATGCTGGGAAGCACTGTGCAGGCTGGGAGAAATTGGTGGCGGTGTTTAGATCCAAGTTACAAGCTCCAGGTGCTAGATAGATCTTGAAATAGCTCTCGCTCTTGACCATTGCAATGTAGCCAAATGAGAAGATTACAAGCATGAGCAGCGTTGGAAACAGGGAAGACCTCTTTGACATCTTTAAAGACAATGAGATGAAGATCACTGTTGTTTGTGCTCTGGGAAACTTATATATGCACAAAATGATAAGATCCAATCTTGCAAGGTTAACCAACAATCTTGACGATTGTTTGTGGAAAGGAAGTGATCACCAATAATTGTTTTTAATCAAATCAACTAGTTGCTTGTTCTAGGTGCATCATAGCATCAAATCAAGAAGGAAAATTTAAGCTTGTAGCTAGACCAGTCTCAAAGTTTCCAGCTATAAAAACCTCTTAAAAAGACCTCATTCTTAGCATTGAGTAGAAAAGAAGAGATGGCAACATGGAGCACTTTTATCACCTTGTTTCTTGCAATATCTACTGGTTTGGCTGCTGCTAGCACGTATGAAATCTATGGAGACCCAACATGCACCACAGTGCTGACAAATTTCTCAACTCCAGCACAATGCTTTCCTGTTCTTCCTGTCTTTGGATATAAGTGAGAACAAATCTCTTGTCTTGTGAGATGGATGATAAGAAAATTTTTGTTTTGGGCAGCTTTATTTTCACAGAGGAGCCTGGAATCACATTCTTTGGAGCTGCCTGTTCCATGTCCATAAACGGTTCCACAATTCTCACCAAGAACACTACTGTTTGTGGCCCATCAACAGTCCTCTCGTTTGGAATTCTCCCTCTGGTGGATTGCAACTTGCCGCCTAGACGATCACCGCCACCACCACCGCCTAGACGATCACCGCCACCCCCGCCGCCGACACGGTCACCGCCACCCCCGCCCCCGAGACGATCACCACCACCCCTGCCGCCAACACGATCACCGCCACCCCCGCCGCCGACACGATCACCGCCACCCCCGCCGCCAACACGATCACCACCACCTCCACCACCTCCATGTAAGAAAGGTAAATGTTAGTTGTGTTCTTCCCTTGGAAATAAAGTTTTTTCTACAAATATGAGAAAAATGTAGAAATTTTAGCTTGGTATCCGTTCTTGATGTTTCCAGCGACTAAATGTAACATTGTTTGACTAGTCCTTCAAATTCAACGACGTTCTAGGAGATATGATGCATTTTCACTTGCAGCAGCTCTCTCGATATGCTTGTCTCAGAATTCATACCTTTAATAATCAGGATTAGATTTTTTGGACGAACAAAGAATAGCTTTAAGGCTTTTTTAATTAAATTTTACTAGAAATAACTGAAACATAAAAAGAACACTAAACTTAATTTTATTATCACATCATTTTGTAATCTTTGGTTTGTGTCTATGGCTTTTAGTCTTCTCTTTTTAATTCTTTTTGGTTTGCTAGTGATCTGTGGTGATGCTCGTAATTTTGAAAAGCAAATACATCCAAATCTTGAAACATTAGCAGGACATCAATATAGTCTTTCTGGAAATTTACCGTATGGAGTAACACTTGGAGAAGATATAGTGATTTTAGCTCGCAATCTTAAACTTGGTGATATTGAGCTTCCAAGTCTAACTTATAATGGTACTTATTTTACAAGTTTGAATTTCGGTTATGCTGGAGCAACTGGTCATCTAGCTAATGTTTATGATAATACTTTTGGTACTCCTCATATATTATCTGTTTAAATTTCAGAATTTATATGGCATAAATAACAAGTTAAAGATCATCAAGATGATAAGAAAATATTATATGAAAAAGCACTTTATTATATTGAGATTGGTGGTAATGATCTTGGTTATGGTATGCCAGATTTTGCATATGTATTAAATATTACAATTCCATCTGTGATTAAGGGTATTAAATCTAATATTTTGGATATATATATATAATTCTGATGCAAAATATTTTCTAATAATGAATCTTCCTCGTTTTGATTGTGCTTTAAGTTATTTACAACTATTTTCAAATGCTACTGATATGCATTATGACAAGTTTGGATGTGTTATTGAAACTACTAATGTTATTAACTTATTTAATAAGAAACTATTAAGTATGGTAAATTATATTAATAATCAAAATGATGATATTGAGGTTTTCTGCAAGCAATGAAAATAATTCAAAATATGGATAGCTATGGATTCAAAACTTATAAAGAATCTTGTTGTGGTGTTCCTGGTGGTGATTTTCATTGTAATAATTCTATATTATGTGGTTGTGGACAAACTAGTGGTACTGTATGTGAGAATCCAAGTGAATAATGGTTTGATGGTACTCATTTCACTCAACATTTTTATGAGGCTTCAGCTAAACTTATTCCTAATTATCTTACTCCGACTGTGACCTTTTTGTCTGGTTGAACACCCTCTCAGAATTGATTGATGCGAATTCTCAATTTTCAATAAAAGACAATTGCTCTCGATGAGGCAGGAATTCAACGGCGACAGTGGAATGCATGCCAAGTGCTGGAGCATATGAGATGTTCACTCTTGGATAGATGGAGAGCGTTGAGAAAGGATTTCGGCTGAATGGATCTTTTTGCAGTAATGCAAGCAAAGCACTGGAGAAGAGCCCTTTGCATCGGCAATTACGTGTCTGTCCATCCAACAGAGATGAGAGGCATTTCTTCGTGAAATTCCCTTGCTTCCCTGTTCTTGTTGGTTTAGGAGAGAGGACTCGGTGTCACAAGGTAGCAAAGAGGAACTTTTACAAAGCCGCTTGATTTTTCTTCTTGTCCAGTCGAGGATCGAAGCTAGCATGAAACTTAGTCCGAGAACCGCATCATCAAAGATGAACTTGGAGAATCCAAGCAGGAGAATGAGGAGGAGGCAAGGACAGGTCTCTTGTCTCTGTCACCAGATCCAGAAATATGCCAGGTTGATGGGATTCCGGACTGAAACGATCTCTAAAGCGGAATTTTCTTGATGATGTTTCCACCTGATCAGCACATCTGAAAACTCGGCATCATGAACTTTGATCATGGAAGAAACTAAAATGCATTCCAAGTTAGAAGGAAAGCTTAACAACATATTGAGCTTCATTTCCAGCTCCTGTCGTAACTCTACTTGTGTACAGAATAACACTTGGGAACTCAGGCCTTCTTGGTTTTCAGCATTATCGACAAATTGCTCTGCTTTGTGGTGTCACTGCTTGTCTCAAGTTCAGGTTCCAGACTGCATTTGTCACCTGAAAATAGGAAACAAAGAAACAAAATCAAACCATCAGTGAAGATTGCTTCGCAGGCAGCAAAGTGAAACGAAAAAAAAAAAAGAAGAGAGAACTTCTTTTTGGTCCATGATCTCACTCACGGAGGCCATTTCTTGCATATAAATACCAACCTCCATCACGAGAAAGGCTGTCTCATCATCACTCCACAGGAAACTGGAAACCCCTCCTCTTTCACAAAACCTTTTGACTTCACACCTCCTTCAAATGGCTAGACAATGCGAGCTTGCCTTCATCGCCAAAAGAAACTTGGTAATGTAAGCAAAAGCCTCGGATGAGAATCCCTCTCCACCTCGACATCCAGTTCAATGGTGTCGAGAGTGGCTTTTGGATCAAGTCCTTTTGGATTCAACGCCATATCTGGATGTTAGTCAGTCTCAAGAACCATATTGAGACACAAGAACTTACTGTCGATACTTGCATCAAGCAGTCAAGTAAGCTGGATCGAGAGAAAGGCTTACACATACCGCGGGTGTGCTTTGCAAACGACTTGACGGATCGTAAGAGGCTCTTTTGGGCCTGCAACACCTATAACCAAAAAATGTGAATTTTTTTTGCGTTGTTCTTGCAAAGATAGATGAAAATTACCTCCGGTTGCATGCTAATGACCATCTCTTTCAGCGTTTGCTCGCCTACAATGTCTTTGAAAACACGCACGAGTGTGTTACGAGAAATCTTCCCTTGCTGCAAAAAAAGATTGCTTCGTGTTAGATCAAGAACCAAAAAAGAAAAAATGAAAAATAACTAGAAAAAAAAAAAGAGGCTTGCCTTAAAGACTGTGTACTGCTCCACCAGATAAATGAAATCCTGGAACGATAGCTTCTCCTTAAGCACTTTAAGAACTCTTACAAACGAAACCCATGGTGTTTTGGGCACACTCATTCGCTAAGGGCGAAAGAAAAATAAAAATGTGTCAAGAGAGATCGCGAGAGAGAGGAATCCCAGACCTGGAAAGAGTGGCAGATGCTTCCGTTGCCACTGGAAATGCAAGAGGATGAGACATCATCTGGGGTTTCATCCGATTCCTCTTTGGGGATCCTACATCTTGGATTTGGCACTGAGAATCCAGCTGAGAGGAGCTTTACCTGTGAGGAATTCCATCCGGGAGCTGGAGATCCATCTAGTAGGAGGAGATAGAGGCCATGATTTTTTCTCTCGCTGGAGGATGTGGGCGCAAAAACCTAGAAATAAGAGTGGAGAGCTTTAGGGCAGACGATACACTAGGGTTTTTTCTAATGGCTTGGCGATGGCGCGTGCTTGGGATTCTCGTCCTCGTCGCTTGTTGCGCGGCTTTTGGAGGCGCGATCGAAGGTACTGTGGCTGCGCAGCTATGGCGGTAGCTTAGAAATTGTTCTTTATTGACAGGCGATGGCGGCGACCCGGACGCTCTCCAGGCGCCGCTTTTGGACGATTCTTTCATGAGCTCTTCGCCGGGGATGAACACTGGCAGCGTCCTTAGCTGCAAGCGCTACGTCGTCCCGGCGTTGTCGCGATTGGAGAGCTTCCGCAAGCTCGCTCACGTCCGGCGCGTGAATGTTTCGGCTCCTTTCACTCTATCGAAGATCGAGGCTTGCCTTCATGGGTATGCATGAAGCTCTTTGGGGAAGAACTCTTTGGCGGTTCTAACACTCTTGTTTTTGTTGGTTTGGTTGGTTTGGTTTGCGTTTCTTCGCAGCAACGCGACCCTGGACTTGTGCCAGTGCTCGAAAGAAAAGTGGAAGGCTCTGGAAAAGAATAAGTGGTTTGCGAGCATGTCACCGTTCGAAACCATGTACGTTGATATCCGGTCAGATCGGAAAGCCTCGATTAAAGACACTCCTGTCACTGTGCTCGTCAAAGAAGGTACGCGTTTTTCTTTCTTTTCTTCTTGGACAAGTTGCTGATCATTGCGTGTTACAGAGTTTTGCTCCTACCGAGTGTTTCTCTTCGTACTTGGCATCGCTTTACTCATTTCGGCGCCCATCGTGAGCGAATGGGTTCCCTTTTACTACAGCAGTGGCATGACTCTGGGCATCGTTTTAGTGGTGCTCATCATTTTGTTTCAGGTACACATTGTAGAGCTGACTGTCCTTCGTTAACAGCTAACTGCAGGCGATGAAACTTCTGCCATTTGGCAGGAAAAGCAGTATCTACATACTTCTATATGGCTCTCTTGTAAGCATTTTTTTTTTTTGTTTCTTTTTTTCCTTCTCGGCCAGCTTTTCGTTCTGACGTGTAGCACGATTTTCAGGTGGGTTTTGGAGCTCTTTTACTCCGACAGATCTCGATTCTTTTGACCCCAATGTTGATGGATATGGGATTGGGGGAAGACATGGTTAAGCCGGTAAGATATATATAGTTTTTTTTTTTCCAATGCCTTCTTTAACCGTTCCCTTGCAGATCGCCATATTTTGTTTGATGGGAGTTCTCACAGTCGGTGCATACATGGGATATTGGGGAGTTCGTAAGTTTATTCTCACGAATGAGGGAGATGTGGACTCTGGGACAGCAACGTTCGTCAAATGGGCTATCCGGCTTTTCGGCGCTACAATGCTCTTACAAGTGAGTAAACAAGCTTTATTCTTCCTGCGAAGCTTACACCCCGTTTTTCAGACTTCGACTGATCCGGTGTTCAGCGTTCTGTCATTGGTCGTCGGGATATTGATTTCTCTGGTACCCAAGCATTTTAAAGGCCTGGGAAGTCTGGTCGATTTCTCGTGGCCATTCTCCAGGGAAGATTCCTCTTCTTCTGCCTTCGGCGCGTGGAGGTATCGCAAAAAGTATGTGAAGATGTGGAAGAAGAAGCAGGTCGCCACATCCCCCTTTGGAGTTCCGTCAAGCTCCTATCACACTCCGGTCACCATTTCAGGTAAATTATATCGTCTGGTTTAGCTCTAAACTGCGTGTTTATGCAGGAAAGCGCGTCTTCGTGTCGCCTCCAGCAACTTTCAAGGTGACACCCGAGCGAACCTTCTACTCAACTTTCCACCACACACCTGAGCGCAACAAGATGTCCCGGGCAGAGAGAGAGGCCCTGGCGAGGGAATACACGCACAACTCCATGAAAGAACTACTTTCTTCGCCAAAGTTCGCCGAGTGGGCCATTGAAAACACCGACAGAATTGCCGTGCTGCCACACGACGCGCGTGAAGAAAGGCCGGAAGAGGAGATTGAGTTGACGGCGAGCCTGTCCTCATAGGTAGTTCACTTTGGTGGGTTGAAGCTGAGCAAAACATCAGCTCGCGATTGTACTATTACCTTTGTGCTTTTTTGTCCATTTTTTTGTATCTAGCCTCGTTCTTCTTCAGCCAAACTCAGGTGTGCTTCTTTCGAAATTTTCTTACTCCGTTCTTAAAAAGCTAAGCCTGTTATTCTTTACAGGAACTCAGTTACTGTGGATTTTTGTTTCTTTTATTGAATCACTCACGCTTGTAGTTTTGCAGTGAGAAGGTAGAATTAAAAGTCACTTTCTCAGGTGATGGTATTACAGGAATGCAATGCTAAAGATTTGTTATTTGGCGGATCCGAATTGTCCCTGTGCAGCTTTTGGTGATTGTTAACAGGCTATGCAATGGGTATGGTCTTGCTTTACGAAGATGAAACTCCGACCAGGTAATCTCTGTCCTTTCAATTCTTTTTTGATATCTATCTGCCAACCTCTACGGAAAAAGCAGCGCTCTTGGAATCTCTGCAGCTGGAATCGTTACTGTTGAGATAATGGACACAGACTACAGTTTGCCGCGGCTCTTTTAAATGGTGAAGGCATCCTGTTAAGAAAAGACAAGCGTTTTTATTTGGAGCTAATGGAAGCTTTGAAGGTAAGTCTGATTCCTTTTGTCTTATGGGCGCTAATGGCTTGCAAGCAAAATGTTATGCAGGAAGGGAGATCAGAGGTTTTTGCGGTGCCCGTCAAGCAAAAAAACGATGGAGGTTGCCATGATTCTTGGCGTTGCGGTGGTGGCAGTCACTGCCTTGTTGACATTCTCGAGTTTTTTCAACAAATGGTACTATGAGCCGGTGCTCAAGCCGGGACAGCCTCCACTTCCACCAGGTTCGCTTGGATGGCCCGTCTTTGGCAACATGGCTGCTTTCCTCAGAGCCTTCAAGTCTGGAAGACCGGACACTTTCATGGCTCACTACGTTGCCAAGTTGGGTACTGTCGCAGTTTTCTCTCGCTTGTCTAACCGTCGCTTCTTCTTGGTTTCCAGGTACAATCGAGTGGGTTTTTACAAGGCGTTTCTGTTCTGGCAGCCCACCGTCCTTGCTGCCACACCAGAGGCATGCAAATTCGTGCTCTCCAAAGACAGCTTTGAGACAGGATGGCCGGAGAGCGCTGTTGAGCTCATGGGACGAAATTCGTTTGCGGGATTAACTGGTGAGAGCCACTTCAAGCTCCGGAAGCTTACCGAGCCCGCTGTGAACAGTCCCAAAGCTCTAGAGCAGTATGTGCCTCTCATCGTCAACAACATAAAAGCGTGCCTTGCGAGGTGGTCTGCGCAGGATAAGATCGTTCTTCTTACCGAGATGAGAAGGGTAAGCGATGTTTACTTCCTCTTTGTCTTAGTTTTTTCTTGTTGACACTGGGTTTTTCTGATACGACAGTTCACGTTTCTAACTGTCCTCCACATTTTATATGGGAAAGACTCCAGTCTCGACGTGGATGAGACTTTCTCCTTGTACTACATTGTCAACCAAGGCATTCGTGCTCTTCCCATCAACTTCCCTGGGACTGCCTACAACAAAGCCTTGAAGGTAAAAGCCACATGCGTTGTCCTACACAGCTTTGTGACGTTTTCCCATTCTCAGGCGAGGCGAAAGCTCATCAAGCTTATCCAGGACGTGATCAACCAGCGAAGAGCTTCTGGAAAGCCACAGGAAACAAACATTCTTTCGTTGCTCATGGATCAGCTAGATGACAAAGGAGAGGCTCTGGAAGACGCTCAAATCATAGACGTGCTCAACATGTACATGAACGCTGGTCACGACTCGACGGCTCATGTCATCATGTGGCTGATGATTTTCCTGAAGCGAAATCCTGATGTGCTCGAGAAAGTGAAGGTAAAGGTTTGCAGTTTCATACAAACATACAATCTTTCTTATTCAGACCGAGCAAGATGGCATCGCTAAATGCATTTCAGAAGGGGAAATGCTCAACCTTTCAGACATCAAAAGAATGCGCTACCTTTCTAGTGTCAGTGCTGGCCATTTTTCCTTGTTTTCATTCCTGATTTTGTCTCTTCTTTTCCCAGGTTGTCGACGAAACACTGCGACTTGCAAATATATCTCCAATGGTCTTCAGAAGAGCCTTGGTAGATGTCGAGTTTAATGGTGAGTGTGCTTTTCATCTTTTAAGTGATTTTCTCTCATTGCATTCCATGTATAGGCTTTACCATTCCCAAAGGGTGGCATGCGGAAGCGTGGCTAAGACAAGTACACATGGATCCACACGTCCACCCCGACCCAGAAAAGTTCGATCCAGAGCGCTGGGAGGTACTAAATTCTCAAAGCCTTTCTGTGTAACTCTGGCTGGGGTTTTTCACTAGAAATATGGAGCATCTCCATTCACGTTCATGCCCTTTGGGATGGGAAATCGAACTTGTCCTGGTAACGAGCTTGCCAAGCTTCAAATCTTCATTGTCGTCCATTACTTCGTTACTGGCTACAGGTGAAGATGTATTATTTGTGAGTCTTACTTTACACGGGCTTTGTAGGTGGACTGCCTTGAATCCCAACAGCAAAGTTTCTTACTTGCCACATCCAAGGCCACGAGACTTCTATTCGGTAAGAGTTTCAAAACTCCTGTAATTATAAAAGATCATACAAAACACTTTTGAATTGTTGAACGATTATTCCAAATCAATTATGTTAATTGATTTTTATTTAAGTAATCAAGGTTATGGAATAAAGCCAGTTTTATATTATTTTGGCATTTTTAAAAATTTGCTACAAATACCTAAACATTTTTGGATAATATCCTAATTATAGTAGCATAATCTATTTAGGATTGTATTTTTCATATGTGATAGTCATTGTTAAACTTGAAATTATAATATCAAATTTACCAAATTCATAATAAATACCCACCATGCTTATTAATTTAACATAATTAAAAATATTTTATCATTTTTTAATTATTGGTGTATTATTATTCCTCTCAATTTTGTACCTCTTTGTCCCTTTACTCCATAGCTCTCCAGGATTATAATTTAAACTTGAATTAATGGAGTGATTTAAGATGGAGAGCTTCCTGGAGAGCTATGCTTATAATTTCAAGTTTAACAATGACTATCACATATGAAAAATACAATCCTAAATAGATAATTTATATGCTATGCTACTATAATTATGATATTATAATTAGGAAAAATGAACTTACTCCATAGCCCTTTAAGTGATTATAAAAACTATAATTTTATTTTAAAAAAAGAAAATCATCCCATGGAAGAGTGGTTTATTAATTCATGAGAGTGATAAGTAAAGATAAGCCTTAAGTCTTTTGCAGTTAAAAATGTATAGACAAACTAATTGTTTTAAAATTATTATTTTTATAATATCATTAATTAAATTTTCTTATATTATTATAAATATCTTTATGCAAGCATTTCTTGAATGTCTTATATTTTTAAATTTATTATATTAAGATCTCTCACAAAACTATTAAATAATTTTTCTTCTCTTAACTAGTTAAATCTATCACTAAGATATTTGGTATTTTTTATTAAATATGTAAACATGTTCCATAAAAAAATGCCTTTTAATAACTAGTTTAGTTTATAATTGTCAATTTAGGAAACTTTCTTTAATTATTTTGGAATCATTTCACTAAATACCTGAAGTAAATTTATATATCCTTTAAAACCTTGAATGTTTAGATTAAACTTTGGTACCATTATGTTACTAAGCCTTAGGATTTATTTAATTTTTCTAAGAAAATTATTTAATAACAGTTTTTATATTTATTTTATAATTTTCTATTTACTTTTTAAAAAACAAATTACTCTGTCATTTAAATAGCAAGAGTCTTTTACTTGGCTACAAACATCAGCCAGGTGTGTAGATGGACGGCTGGGATTGCGTTAAAGGTTAAGCCAAAAGTTTGGCTGGAGACTCGAAGAACCCTAAAAATGCAGAGGAGTCCGGGGGGATGAATCGGGACGCGTTGGCACTGGAGCGAAGGATTCTCTCAGGTAATCTACGAGATCTATAGCCCGCCGCAGCGGATGGAGGAGGATGTGGCGGATTACGAGGTGGAGCTGAGCGATGGCGACGACGTGGACGACGATGGCGGCGAGACGGACATTGACGAGCTGGAAAAGCGGATATGGATGGACAAGCTCCGCCTCAAGCGCGCCAAGGAGCAGCTCAAGGCCAGGGGCGCCGGCGGCGGCAAGGATCGGGCCAAGCAGAAGCAATCGCCCGAGCAAGCGCGGCGCAAGAAGATGGCTCGAGCACAGGATGGGATCCTCAAGTACATGCTCAAGATGGTGGAGGTTTGCCACGCGCAGGGATTCGTTTATGGGATCGTCCCCGAGAAGGGCAAGCCCGTGAGTGGCTCCTCGGATAATCTCCGGGCGTGGTGGAAGGACAAGGTGAGATTCGACAAGAACGCGCCAGTGGCGATTGGGAAGTTCCAGGCTGAGAACTCCGGCGAGGACAGCGGCAGGGATTCTTCCAGGAGGAAGAACTGGAGCACGGCCAGGGCATTGCAGGAGCTCCAGGACACGACGCTGGGATCGCTCCTCTCGGCTCTAATGCAGCACTGCGATCCTCCGCAAAGGAAGTACCCGCTGGAGAAGCTGGTTCCTCCGCCGTGGTGGCCGACTGGGAACGAGGAGTGGTGGTCGGAGATTGGGTCGCAGGTGAGAGGAGCCAAGGACGTGCCGCCGCCGTATAAGAAGCCTCACGATCTCAAAAAGGCCTGGAAGGTTGGAGTGCTGCTGGCGGTGATCAAGCACCTGTCGCCGGACATCGCCAAGATCAGGACGCTGGTGAGGAGCTCCAAGTGCCTCCAGGACAAGATGACTGCCAAGGAGAGCGCGACTTGGATCGCGGTGCTAGCTCACGAGGAGTCGCTGGTGGTGTCCTCGTCAACTTCCAACGCCGCCACCACCACCACCACCACCACCAAGGTCAGCAACGTTTGCAACTCAGGCAGCAGCTCTAGCAATGACAGAGCTCGATCACAGCCGGCGGGGACTACTTCCAGCGATGACGATCCAGCTCCTCCACCGAGTTCTAAGCAGCCCAAGAACAAGAACAAGTCTAAGCAAGCGAAGGTCGCTAGTGCTACTGTGACGCCACCGCCGCCACCGCCGCCGCCACCGCCACCACCTCCAGTTCGTCCCGGAAGCTCGGAAGTTAGTGCCATGGACGAGGAGGAAGAGGATCCACCACAGCAACGAGTGGAAACCGGACGAAGATCTCGGGAGAAGAGACCGATCGCCGAGCCGCGTATAGAGCCGGAGGAGAGAAGCTTTCGGTGCCGCTACGAGCAGTGCTTCCACCACGATCCGGGGAACGCATTCAAGGACTACAACTCGAGGAACAACCACGAAGGAAGGTGCAGCTACAGGCCAGTGGCGGAGGCTGGAAATGGTTTGATCCAATCCGGAGTGGCTCCTTACAACCAGGTGGCGATGGTGGCGGCGGTAGCGGCGGCTCCTCCGGGCGGTGGTGGCAAGGGACTGTTCCAGCCGACGCCGCCTCTCGTGGTGGAAGCTTGGGGCTATCCAGCTGCTGCGATGGGATCGAACTTTAGCGTGTTCCAGCAGCATGGCCGCAGCCTGGATCTAAACGAGCAAGAACAGCGACCAGATCGTCACCACCACCACCTAGAACAGCCGCAGGAGCAACTAGATCGTCCTGGAGAGCAGGAAGATCAAGGCTCAAGGCCCGAAGAAGAGCGCGATCGCCATCGTCACGATCACCACCATGAGCGGCAGCAAAGTGGAGGATTGGCGGACCCGTTCTATCTCAACGAGCTCGCGATGGAGGAGGAGAGAAACGATGGCCAGCACCATGAATTTGGAGCTCCAGGAGAGGAGGAAGTCCACTCCGACTATGGATTCCCAGCTGGAGAATACGATCTCGCGCTGGGCAGCCCCGAGCCCATCATGGGAGGCTTCGAGTTCCTCGATTCCAACGATATCTGGTACTTTGGAGCTTAGAAGCATTCAAACTCCAGGAAAGATTCCTTTGGCATATATTTATTTTGTTATATAGAACTTTAGGGCTCTTGGTTCTTTGGGATTTTAGGGTTCTTGGAGCTGGAGTTCCATTCGAGGTATGATTCACAGCAGCGACAGCGACAGTAGCATCGATCCATGGCTGGATTCGAGGCGCCAGCTGCAGCGCCGGCGCCCGGCGACGATTCCTTCGATTGGCTCATCCCCAAGCAGCAGGACGCATGGTATGGAAATATCCAGTACCTGAGCAACATCTCCATCATCGGCGCCGTGTGCTGCGTGATCCTCTTCCTCGTCGTCAAGGTGAGGAGCGATCACAAGCTCCCCGGGGCGGCATCGCTGGTGACGAAGCTCCTGGCGGTGTGGCACACGACCAGCCAGCAGATCGCGAGGCTGTGCGGCGCCAATTCGGCACAGTATCTGTCGGTGGAGGGCTACACTTTCGTCACGCTCGCGATCGTCTCGGTGGTGGCAGTGCTGGTCATCCTGCCCGTGAATTTGTATGGGGGCACGGTTCCAATCGAGGACCAGTTTGCAAAGGCGACGGTTGCTCACGTCAAGGAGGGATCGCCATGGCTGTGGGCTCACACGGTGTTCATGGTGGCTCTCACCGCCGCCGTCCACCTTTGCACGAGTAGCCTGGAGAAGCATCTCCAGGCGACACAGTTCCACGACGGAGACTCGGCCGACTCGGTGGCGATTTTCACGCTGATGGTGAGAGGAGTTCCTCGGGTTCTCGCCATGGACAAGCGGCCGCTGGAGGACTACTTTGAGCACCGGTATCCAGGGAAAGTCTACTCCATTGTTGTCCCTCACGATCTGGACGCGTTCTATCGGCTCAAGTCCGAGCTGCTCAAGACGAGGGAGAGGATTGTGGCAGCGGACGCTCAGGCTCGAGCACGACAGCAGGTGTTCTACGAGGAAGACTACTTTTTTAGTGGTGACGATAGGGATCTTTTCGTGGATTTGTCATCGTCCAGCAGCAGCCACAGGAGGGTGTCTTGGTTCCGGGAGAAGTGGTCTTGGATCAAGCACGAGGTGACGAGGTGCTGGAGCTGTATATTAGTTTTGTGCCGCTTGACTCCCGAGGATAGGCTGAGGAGGCTGGCTGCTCGACGCGGGGAGCTCGAGAGCTCTCTCGGTGCTTACAGGGATGGGATTGCCACAGGTGCTGGGATTGCTTTCGTGGTATTCAAGGACGTATTCACGGCGAGCAGGGCTCTACAGGACGCTAGGATGAATTCTACCAGGAGCGATAGATTAGTAGGAGGTTTTTCGATGGTGGAGGCGCAGCTCTCGAGGGGGTGCTGGAAAGTTGGCAGGGCTCCTTCGCCTCGCGATATCTATTGGCACCACCTCGGCAGGAGCTCACTCCAGAGACGCTTGCGAACGGTTGCTGTGAATCTCCTGTTGCTGCTGGTGCTCTTCTTTTGTAGCTCGCCACTGGCGGCCATCACCGCGATACACAACGCTAGCCGCTTCATCGGGCGAGATACCATGGAGCACTTGCAAGTTTGGCTCGCCTGGGCTCGCTCCTCCAACTGGTTCTCCACTTTCATCCTCCAGTTCCTGCCGAACGTGCTCATCTTCGTCACCATGTACGTGCTTGTTCCCGCGGTGC